TCCACATGTGCAGGTTTGAGAAGATCATGCAGAGTTGTTCTATCAAACCCTACTCCTGATGAAGATACAAGTTTGATATGCGTTGAGAATCAGGACCCAGACAAATTAATAGAGCAAAATATCTTTAGCATGGTGTCAAGTCATGAAAACACTTACAATATTATGGACAATCATTACTATTTATATGAATGTTGGTCCTGTTAGGGTTCTTACTATCCTCTGTTCTATTCTGCATTTTTGATTCTATATTGCACTTTGTGTTTTTGTATACTTACGTGTTTTTATTCAGTAAATAAGTAAATAAGTACCATTCCACTAATTATCGATTTAAAACCCCCCTTCTTTGTGCACGTTCTGGATACTATGGCCCAGGTGTTTTTTCATTAATGCAGCAAGTTGTTTGCTGCGCCCTGCCTGGTGGGATATTCTGCAGGACACGAGGGACATAGGGCAATTACTAAGGGACTGTCAATAGGCAGAACAGTGACTTAGTGGTTAGCACTTATGCCTTCCAGCACTGGAGTCCTTGCTTTCAATATAAGTATACTATTTGCAAGGTAGATTAACTGGCAATTGTCTAAATTGGCCTTGATATGTGTGTTTGGGTCTAAAAACCCCAACTGCAGACGCTAGTAGCACCCCGTTGAGCGGCCATTGCAGCTCTTGTACACATTTCAGGCATGGAGCCACACAAAAAGTTAGGTTCCAAGTGTACCAAAGATTGCAACGTGGTCATGGTAATAAGGACGGGAGAGGAACATTTGGCAACTACAGTATGTCATCTACCCCTTTACATGATCGTCCTTCCCTTGACCTGGGGCAGGTATAGAAAGCCAATCCATCACAACATAAATGAGGCAAGGGAATAAGTTAAGTCTTTTAGGAAGGGAAGGTTGTCGTGACAGCTGATCCTTTCTGTTCTTTTTTTAAATTTTTTGTTTCTCTTTGTTTTCTTTTAGAGCTATGAAAACAGCCCATGCTGTGAGACAGGATGTAGGTATTTTTCTACTAGTCTAGTAGACATATAACCTATATATTTATTTATACCGCAAACTGTTACACTGGGTTAGGGCTGCCGTCTATGTTGCAATGACATTAGCTGGGTCAGCAAGCATTAAAAAGAGATACCATGACTAAACAGCTAGGGGTTATTCATACAGCTACATTTATCCTAAGTCGCTCGTGGACCAGTTCCTAAGTCAGCAGGTTAGAACAACTGCAAACCACAAAGCTTACAAATTGCAGCCTTTCTAATTTTTATTTATTTTTTCTTGTCCAGCCATCTCTGGAAGAAAATGGGGAAAAAAAGTGAGTGTGCTGGAAGGGCGAAACGGTTGAGAGAGATCACAAGAATCTCTGTAGCTCAGGCAGAGTCAATTTATCTTGCTTGGTGGTGTGTACAACACGATTATAGGGGTTCATATAAAGCAGACAATGTCCTGCCACCGATAATTGATTCTTCTTTTAGGGCCTGTTCACACGACGTCCGTTTTCTGTGCTGACCTGATCCGTACGCTCCTGCACTAAAAATGCATCCCAATGTATCACTATGTGTTTTATGGGCTACAGTTCTCACGTGCGCAGTCCGTTCAGGTTACCACAGAAAAATACTGCATGTCACATTTTGTACGGTCAGGAAACGGTCCGGAAACGCAAAACGCGTCAAAAACGCACTGCACTGCACCTAACATACTGACAGCCCCACTCCAGCAAAAAAAAAAATATATATTTTTTTTAACTGGAATGCATCACAAACGCGGCAAAACACATAGCACCGCGTCTGCAGATCCGCACCTGATCAGGACCTGAAACTCATGTGAACAGGCCCTTAGCTTTTTCAAAAATATTGGGACTGCACAGCTGGGCCCTATACCAAGTGCCGTCAGCATCCACATGTGGCTGGCAAAATGTATAGTGTTGTGGTGTGTCACCTGCACTCCATATGGCAATGTAGACATTTCTCTTTCCAAATAACGGTGCTCAAAGTGATGACCCAGATGGTGCTGTGTGTTTTCATGAAATAGATGAAAGGAATCACTAGCACTCACAGGATGCAAAATTCTTAATTTTCTTGAACATGCGTTGATCAAACCAAAATGGAAAATGTCCGGACACAAGCATGGGAATCAATTTTCAGTATTGGAAAAAAACTGTATATAAGTATAAACAAATTACAGCACACGGTTTGGCTGCAAGCTCCTTTTGGCCACATAATTTCCAACCTGCTCTTCCGAACTTCTGATGACAGCTGGAAGGGTGCCGATAGGGGCACCCAGTGAACAAATTTTGCTCTGTGTATAGCCTAGCCTAGTTAATGCTCCAACCTAGAAATGTGTCAGAACTTAAACAGCGATTTTGCACGAGGTTTCACATTGAGAGTAGAGCAGAAGGGGTAGTAAGGTAGGTATGTACTTTTTACCCCCCCTGTTCTAAAGTGAACTTGCTATACTATTCTGAATTAGTAAAGTAAAGGTTCTCTTTAAGACTCAACTCCAAATCTGAAATTAATCAATATCCACCTGCTGTCTCACAATCCACTGAGAGTGGCCTTTTTGGCCATAGATGCAGTGTTGATGGACCACAGATAGGTGGGGACCTTGTTTTGGAGTAGGGACTTAGCCTCCAACCCAAAGAACATGACACACTGGCAATCCCTGTTGCTGGTGAAAACTCCCCAGCAACAGGATTGCTATACAGGGCAGAGAAATACTCACTTGTTATTTTGCTTCTCTCTGGTAAGATGAGTGGGGTATAGCTCAGTCCCTGTTGGGTGATGTTTTTTAAGTGTTTCCGTCATATAGGTGAGTATTTTCTCTGCATTTCTTAGCGATTCTGCCGTGATTTGCTGGCAGCAACAGCATTGCCGGAAAGCTTAGGAACAAAGTCACACCAGGATCAAGGAAGAAAAGTCTTAGCAGGTACTTTGTGGTACCAAAACTTTTCCTTTCAAATGTTTAAAATGGCTGACACATTTCCTTTAAGGAAGAATAATGGCTACAGATGGGGATGAAACCAGTTCAATATTTCATCTCTGGCTTAAAACATTATTCCATTCATGACCTTGTTAAGGGGGTCAAGTATTGCAGGCGCAGTCAAACAAGGCGGAAAAAAAACGATGCCGCGAATGTCACAGGACTCAGATTTAATACATGCTGGAATTTTAAGCAATTAAACTATGTCATAATACTATGACAGGAATGTAAAAAACCTTCTGTGTTCCAACACACGAGCCTTGGAACACCAAAAAGGAAGCCGAACAGAAAGCAGCCTTCAGTCTTTTAATTAGTGTCCGCGAGGAAACCATTGTTTTCGTAAGTACCCTAAATACCAGTTTGGCACCGCTGGGCTCCTTTCAGCGATGAAGGCTAATGCATTCTTTAATTTGTTTTCAATGGCGAACCTATGGTTAGGATCTCAGTAGAACAAGAGAAGATCGTCCTCATTCCCCGCCTCAGCAAGTTTGATGAATGATGAACAATGCGGCCCCAGCTGTGCTCCTGCTTAAAGTCCTTGTGGTTAGACCTGCTTCTCCGTAGCAATATGTAATTATACCAAGACAGCTACCACTGCTTTACCGTGATTTTCTAAAAATACCAAACCCTGTAATCATTCCGAGAACAACAATTACACAAGCTTCTTGTTTGTAGGAGTATCTACAAGTTTTAAAGCCACGATCCTGGCAGAGAGAGAAGAATTAACTTTTGAGCTACTTGGCTGCATAACTGAACACGCTAAGGGCCCCACAACACATCAATTCCTCTTTTGTGCTAACGTTGTGAGACCAGAAAACACCCTGACGCCCCTCGGTCCATTGTAGATGTTGTACCTACGCTGCCATTTCTTTTCATTAATGGAAATGCAGTTCTTGAAAATAATATACATTATTTAAACTATATATCTAAATAAAATAATTTTACATATATATTGATTAAATTATATTTACATTAATATATTATCAAATAATAATAATAATAATATAGTTCTTAAAAGTGTAGAACAAAAAGACCTTCCCTCCCCATACTATTCTGGCTTATCTTATCCCCAAGATCAACCAATGACGATTTCTATCTGCACCAGTAATATTTTAAAGGGCATCTATGGTCAAAAACTAAAAATAAATCTGGATTTCTATATTGAAGTTCTATTCCACTCCTATTAACCATATCCATCTAGAAGTTTGTAAACATAATATAACATGATAATGTCCATAGATTGCACTTGCTCAATGCAGTGACACCATTTAACTCAGCCCTGTGATTATGCATGTGCGTGTGTCACAACTTTTACAGAGCCTGCCTTCTGAACTACAACCCAAAGTCTGAGCAATGTGACATTATCATTACTTGCTGGAAGCAATGCATGATGGGAGATGTAGTCTTGAGTAGCTCTCAGTAAACGTTCGGATATGTGGACATTCATGTGCACTGAAAAGGGCTCTGCTGATCAGGACACCATACCTACAGCAAGAGGACGCAACAGAAGAAATCCAATATACAAAGAGTCAAACTGTGTTCCAGGGTAACAGATTGGTAGAAGTTGTGGGGGAAGCTATGAAGTCACTTTGATATAAGATCCATATTAAATGTTCTAAAATACATTTTCCTATAGGTGAAAGTTCTGCTTTCTGCCAGTTGCAGTGCCCTGTGCTGGCAGAGGTGAGTAACAGCCACCCTCCCCCAGCACAGGAGTCCTCACAAAGACTTGTACTGCAGAGGAAGAGAGGGGGCGTGTTTGGCCAAGTGAATTACTTGGTAATTGCATTTGGTCTAACTGGCAGCATGGTCATATTTAAAACACCCTGCACAATGTAACAGGAAAATAGAAATACAACTATTATAATGGCTTTATCAGAGTGCATATCTATTTCTGTGTAGATTCACAATAGAAAAAAAGGAATATATATATATATATATATATATATATTTTACACACACACACACACACACACACAATTCTGCTGCTTTAAATGGAATACACTGAACTGGATATTTCCTACTCACCATTACATATACAGCGTGCATTCCTATAAAACCGTGGGCACACAAAGCTGATTCTGGCTGTGCTGTAGGTCATTAGTGAGTGAGAATCAATGGACAGGGTCTGCTCACAGTGCTGCTCTTGACAGTCCAATCCCGAACAATTCTTCTCCAAGATTGTTGATATCCGAATTACATTTTCCAAATGTCTCCTTGCATTTGAAAGCTTCTGAATCAAATAGGCAGGCCTGTAGAAGCCTCCGTTTTGCATCTGCACGGCAAACAGCATGTCGAGCTGGCTGGTTCCGGCCACAGGCTGAATGCTGATTATATACAGGCTGTCTTCTTTCTGTGTCAGGACCGCATTACGGAGAGTACGCCGGAAGCCGTGCAAATGGAGCCCAACAAAATCTTCGGGGGAGATGTTCTCAAAGCGTATGGTCACGGCGTTCTGTAGCATTTCCTGCATCAACTGCTCCACGTGCACAGTCACATCCACTGACACCTGATAGCGCCCATCGCTAACCGATACATTGAGGGTATACTTGCCCCCATCTAGACCGCCAAGGGCAATCACTTTTGCGTCGTGATTGTTAATTTTAAACAAGCTTTTCTGCTCCGACTTTAGAGTGTAGGAGAGGACGTCGTAGATGTCCTGGTCGGTGGCATGAATCTTCCCAATAACTCCTCCTGGGAAATCGTCTTCCATAGTGACAATGTATATCTCCAGGGGGATGGCTGATGGCTTATGGACACTCTCTTCAATTACTTTTACTTGTACGTATGTCTGCGAGGTCAAAGGTGGTTTACCCGAGTCTCTCACCTGCAGTAATATGAATACAGACGTTTTCGTATTAAAAAATATTTCATTTATTGATTTGATTTTATTAATTTATATAGTCCTGTCACATTCCACAACAGTCTACAAAGAACAATATACTATTTAACTCAATCGATGTCCCTAAAGGAAATTAGAAAATTATAATTCAGGTTCCTTAAAGAAGTAAAACTTAAAAAAAAAAACCCACTGCTAATGGCAGGCTTTCTAAGGAAGAAGACGCTCTGTAAGTCTCTTCTACTATAAAAACGTCTTCCTGCCTGTCAGAAATATATTCCACCTCTACGCTGAGCCGCGAATGCCTAGATGAAGTGACTCCTATGTGTATGCATGGAAGTTACATCACTGGGGCATGTCCAATCGTGCAGCCGAACACATGAAACCCAGAAGAAGACTGGGGAGAAGATGGAAGTGCTGGCAAGGGAGGATAGCAGAACTGGAGGGGATCACTTTGACAGGTAAGTTTGCCATAATGTGGTAACATGCTATGCTATGGCTATAATGTCTTTATGTTTAATATATTTACTTCTGCTTTAAAGTGTATCTTAAGCCACATTGTTTTATTTCTTTTGAAGAGTTAGCATCTCAGTCGGGTTTTTTTTATTCTTTTTTTTTTTTTAAGCATGTTAGATTTTTATTGAGAGAACAGAAGTAAAATCAATACAGATATGATCTAAAAATGACATGGATCATAGATCATGTATCAGTACGCAGACTGCGATCCAGACATGCATAACGAATATATCCAAGCAATACTAAATAAGAACCCAAATCACCATATGGTGAGAAACACTCTAGCGACTCTGTATTGCGGGTACTAATATATAAACAGCTTTAACCAGTTAACCTTATAGCCGTGAGGGTCGGTACTGTGAGTAGAAGACCAAATCTCTATGGCGTGGGAACTCGTGGGCATATCAGAAGGACCAAGCCTCCTTATGTACAGTAAGTGGGAACTGCAGTTAAGTTTGGAAAATTAGGGACAAAGGACATCCAGTGATCCTAGGGAGCCAGTCAATTGGGATTCTAGATACCACTTAGAAAATCGAAAAATGGACACCAAATCTTGCAATTGCTGCAGCGAAAATTCCGCTGTAATATAAGATGTCCAAGTGTCGAAGAAGATTTTAGTGCTTGATTGTTTGTTTGTTTTTTAATTCTGCCTGTTAGCTGCACCCTCTTTATTTGTCCTGGTGAGGTGACTACTAAAACTTGGGACACAATGATGAAAAATCCAATATTTTACATTCTGCAAAATC